ACTCTTCCTAAACCTGTCCTGATGTCAAAACCTGTCCTGATGTTTTTTATCAATAATAACTAGAAGCTAGCTATGGCAAATACACTATACACCCAAACAGAAACAACATGATTCTTTTTTACTAAAACAAAAAGTGAACATGAAAGTAAGAGTGAGTCACAAAAGTTAATGCACCTTACAAAAGTATGAGAATCAGAAATTCCTGTGACATCAGTAACCGGAGAAACATCTAAAAGAGCAGCAACACGCGGCATGACATTTTTACCAAAGGAACTTGAAGCTGCAATTATATGAGAGTAACCATCTCTTTGTTGAACCAAATGGACTAGTTTAGCCCAAGGTTCTGCCAGTGGATTTTTGAACGCTTCTGAATCCGCCACCAGCACCTACACCACAAGCAGCATACCCTAAGTAACAAATTAATTTGAAGCCAAAATTGATGAGATAGAAATTACCTGAAACCTTACCTGCATCATTCGCATGTCAAAACGGCCAACGAACACTGTCACTGATACTAGAAGATCAAAAACAGTTTTGAATAAATCAGCAGATGTTCTGCATAATTTATCAAGTATAACCATACAATCATGATCATCTTCAACACCTCAATATATAAGAAAGAAAGTGATATGGAAGGAAAAAATTATACACAGTCACATACCCAGAGTACCAAGGAACCATATCCAAAAAGTCAGGCTTCATCTGCTTCTTCTTCAACTTCTCAAATTCTTGAACCAGCACTGAAATAATCAACATATTAAGACATTAAAATATGTATACACTTGAACCAGCAGTAAAACCAGCACTGAAATAATCAACATATTAAGACATTAAGACATCAAAAAGACATTAAAATCAACATATTAAGATAATGAGAATCAGCACTTGAACCAACACTGAAATAATCAATCAAATTAAACAAAAAGCAGAAATGAAAATCAGAGTTACCAAGGAATAAGCCCAACAAACAAGCTTGCTAAAGCACTACTTTGAAGGCAAACTGCTAAAGTACAAAAAGAGCACCTCCAATGAAGGCAACTGTAAACACAGAAGAAAACCCATTATGCGGAAAATCTGTATACACCCAAATTCAAATCACATATTATTACTAACTCAGGAAAAAAACAAAACAATCAAACTCAAAAAGAAGTGAAAATTACCAAAACAGGTCTGGATTCATCGTCATGAACAACCCCAAAAGAAGTGTAAACTCACAACATTGTCACTGTATTAAACCAATAGTGGATTCCTTTATGCTTAGGTAAACTTTACACAAGTCCCACCAATTTAAAGGACACATTTTCAAAGTGGTGGGTGGCACCCACATATATTTTTCCCACTGAACATCTGTATTATACTGGTATGGCATCCAATTTGGGATGGAGAGAACATATATACATAAATAATTGTTATATAATTATGAGGCATTTCTTTATCTATACCTGTAACAACGATATTGGAGAGCTATCGAGCTCGAGGACGGAATGTACTCACAGGAAAGTCCTCCCTGAAAGAATCATTATGTTCATAACAGAAAACCATATCATCAAATGCATTTAGTTAATCAAAAGTAGTGAAAAAATAAGCACCCTTATTATTCATCTTGTGACCACGAGTAAAATTAACATACTAAATGTAGTAATACAATTCAACTATTTTAATTAATTGTCATGATATCTCATTAAAAAAGCAGTATTTTAATTAATATAACACTTAAGTTTCTAAAATATTAGTAACTGATGTTACCAGAGAAGACTGTAACAATTGATTTAGGTAAGGCATATCATCAGTTCCAAAATATTTTCGTGGTTGCCCCTTCATCTTAGATTCAATGCCTCCTACAAGTAGAGCCGCAACACCTACTTCTAAAAAATTATGTGATCTTTTATCTTGTAAACTCACAACATTGTCACTGTATTAAAACATATTTAAAAACATGAGCTGCAGTGGGATAAATCACAAGAATAGTAGAAACACGAGATGCAGTAGCTATTAAGGCATTAACAAAACATCTAAAACATATAGACCAACAAAAGGATGCAGAGGGTGTGCAGTAGAAAAACTCTTGTTTCTGGAATCACATTAATGATTGGGGGTGGTGGTAGGGAGTGTTAAACATATGACCTTTTTTTAAAGAAATAACTGAGCATTAATATTGCAATATGCAGTTTGAAGAAGTGAGGACTGTAGAGAGAGAGACAATGCATCACATATAAAATGTTTAGATGCAATTGAATATCCATTTGTTCAAGCAACATACCTTAGAAGATACCGTTTCAAAATTGCTACACACCTTATGACAACTGCAGGACTGGTAAAAACAAGTGTCGATGTCAGCAGCAGAAAATAGAAATTTTAAAATGGTTCACAAAATACTATGAAACCAATAGTGGTTGCCCCAAAATTGTTACATGTAATGATGTAAAGCAATTGTAACATGGATTCCTTAACCAAAACAAACTTTCGACACTGAATTACTATGAAACCAAAACTTTACGAGTCATGGCTTCAAAACTGATTTACAAAATGATTACCTTTAATTTAACTCCCTAATGCAGTCCTGAGTCAAGATCTGAGAAAAAATATAACCAAGAAATCAATAAATATAGGGCTTGAAATCATAAGATTACCTTATTTTGCAACAGCTTTACACTTCTGCGTGTTTGTAAAATTGTCGTGAATTCCAATCTTCCATAAACAAAAACTTCTGCATCAAAACACAGAAATTTATTCAAGTACAGAAAAACAAATGAGAGTTAAGTGATAAAATATGAAAACAATACATACCAGAAATAAAAATAAACAAGGTTTAAGTTTGAAAAACACAAATTCATTCAATAAAAATGCAGGTTATCATAAACATGGCCAAATATTTTTTATATCTTAATCTATTCAACAAGCTTTGTCATTCTACCACAACCATCTAGAACAAAGATTCTATAGTGTTAAAAAACAAGATTTGGCCGTTTGAGTTTTGTGGGTTTGAAATAGATAACATAAAAATAGAAGTTTTGTGTTGTCTGAGAGAGAAAAGGAGAAACAGACAGAGAACAAGGACGAGAGAACAAAACTTACATGATCGGCGATGATGCAGTGGTGCGTCTCGACGGTGGTGAACTCAAGGATGAAGATTTAAAAGATCATGAAGAGAGAACTGAGTGTGTTTTGATGCGAAGAGAAGTGAGAATTAAACAAATGAAAACCTAAAAAAATAAGTGTATAAACTAGTAATCAAATAAAATAAATAATTGGACCGGTCGGTTTCAGTTTTCTTTGGGTTCAATTCAGTCATCCGAAACCGACCACTTAAACCCTTGTAAACCCAACAATTACTAATTTGCTAACCCGAAAACCAGCCTTATCCAAACCGTATGTGTGCGGGGTCTCATGGATCGGCCGGTTTGGGTCGGTTAAACTTTTTTCTGTCCAGCCCTACTTCTTATATATAATAGATCAAGCAATCACTTTATTTTAAAGTTGATTTGAACAATTTAAAATATATAATAATATTTTTGATTTTCTATTTAGTATTGAGATTTTAAAATCTATTAAAGTTGAAAATTTAAAAGAAAACTGTTTTAATTGACAAAACTGATATTGATGGATTAGATTTATTTATAGAATTACAAATTTTAAAAGAAATAATATAAATAAAAAATTATACACAAATTAATATACTTAATTATATAAAAAGACTCGATTCTTTTCCAAATGCATACATTATTTATAGAATAATGTTAACAATTTTTATTACAGTTGCATAGAGAAGTTTTTTAAAATTAAAGTTAATAAAATTTTATTTAAGATCAACAATGTCTCAACAAAAATTAAATAGATTGACTTTATTATTAATTGAAAAAAAAATTCTAAATTACAATAGTTTAATAAATGATTTCAAAAAATTCGTAAAATAAAAAATACTATTAAGTTGAAAAAAATCTCATTTTAATATTGGTCTAAAAACCACAATATGTATTTGGGCCGGTTCTGAGTTCATGGTTCCAAGTTCACAGAGAATAAATTTTGAGTTATTCAGCTTGGCCAAATATAGTCATATGGCTTAATTTGGGCTAACTCACTAAATGTGACAAATGACCCTGTTGAGATTGCTATAATAGGAGTTTTAACCAACGTGATGGTGCATCAGCATCTTTTTTTCTATATATTTTTTAAAATGTCAAAATCAAATCAAATCAAATGCAGTCCTAGAGAAAAATAATAATGGATTACTACAAGTGGGTTGAATAGTCTCTCGCCAAAGTTAAAAAAACAGAGCCTTGGCCTAGTAAAAGATTAACATCATTTATACAAATTACTCATAGTTTAGTTTCCAAATTGAGTCCTACCAAAACCAAACACCAGTCTGTTCTTTCTACCTCCAAAATCAATAACAAAGCTAATTCGCTGCATTATAAAAAAAATAAAAAACTTAGAGGATAATCTCGAATTCCACCAAAATGGATGAGACTGAAAATGAGATCCAAGAGAAAAAAATTTACTCAAAGGCAGCTACTATTTTTGTTTGACTAAACAAGCGTTTTTTTTTTTACTAAACAGGCTATCCACTTTTTTATTCACCAAAACAAATGAGAGCAGAATATATAGTAATATAATAATTAATAAAAAAAGGTAAATCAGCAAAGGAACGGTTCAAAGGCATGATCACCACCGTCCACCTATAAAATCTCAGTCCACCGACAATCATCATTGTGATACTCTAAAGATACTAATCATGAAACGACATAAACCTAAACTATAATCACGACAAAACACAAATGTTAAGAAAAACAAACTTAAATTAAAACTGTAGTAAAGTCGCAGTAGTAATGGTAATACTATTCACTAGAATCAGTTCAATGGTGTTTCTATCACCGCCACTTGTTTTAGATCCAACTCTATGGTCAAGAAAAATCAAACAAAATAGATAAAAACAAAAAACACTCCGCGACTAGTGGGAAGATTAAAACAAAGCAGCGTTGAAAAATCAAAGCCATTGAAACTTAACAGAAAGTTGAATCGTTGGAATCATGACGAGTGTCATTGTTTCCCATTGCAGGAATTTTGAAGTGCCAAAGTCTTCCCACACCATCCACCTTGTTTTTCTTACAAAGAAACTCTTCCGCGTAAGCCTTCTCCACCTTCCGATCTACATCGTGCAAAAACACGTGTGTCACATCGGAGCCTTTTCTATTTCTCGCCATCACGTTCATCGAAAATATCGCCGCCATACGACCTGGCGCCTCCGCGAAGTACCCTCTCGGGGCGTCGATCATTATCAAATCCCAGTCGGTATCGTAAACCTCGTCGGGGAGATTATGAAGCGCTAGTTTACATTTCTCGTTGCCTTTCAGCGTGGCTTTAGCCGGAGAACAAGCCGACTCAGATCGGTACGTTTTGAGAAGCTCGTCTGCTTCTTGAAGCTGTGTACGGTAGGGGACAGTAATAGCTCGAAGCTCCGGTGCGTCTTTGAGAACTGTTTGAACCCATTTCGGATCTTCTTCGAGGAAAAGCGTGGTTCCGCGTGGGTTGAACCCGGCCCACATGAGGGAATCGTGGCCCAGACCGAATACGAGGAAGTTGAAGGGACGGTTTAGGGATTTGATGACGTTTAAGGTTATGCTGATCTCGTCGAGGGATTGTTGAGGGACGACGTGGGAGGTAGCGTAGTGAAGGATGGCACGAAGCTGGATCGGTGTAGGGTCGGATTGTTGGTTCGTGGTTCGGGTGAGTGAACATAACAAGGTGTGGTCGGAGGTTTGGAGTATGGTTGTTGCGAAAACCAATGCTCCGATTATTCCTAAAATGACCAACAAAACTACCGACCAACGTTTTTCACCGATAAGAGGATAACGGCTCCTCATTTTTTCGTTGACCTGCATAATGATGTGTTTGTGGGTGAGATTGGGTTATATAAGTTATTTGGGAGTGAAATCAAACTGTGGATTATGGAAAAGGAAATGGGGATGAAAGTGATGTTGATAACGTTGTGAGAGATAAAATAAGGATGTTGTTGGGGAGTGGTATTAAATAATGAATATTAATATAAAAAACCTAATTAGGCTTTTCGCATTCGCTAATGGGACAGCACAACTTCAAAATTGTCAACGTGTTATGTTAGTAATTGGCAATTTTATTCGTTTTTGAAATTCATTAAATGTTGTCGTGATCCACATGTGATCCGTCCGGATGATATCTGCTAGTAATTATCTACCCGATATCATATTATAACCAAATTTAGTTTTTTTTTTAATTTATCAAATAGTTAACATATTTAATTAAAAAAATTAAATATATTAAATATTCAATGAATTGATAAAGTTAAATTTATTTATAATATAAATTTACCTATAATATAATAGGGTAGCAAAAAAAAGATATTTTAACAATTTAACTTCTATGCCTATTCTAGGTGTAAAATATTTTACATTAATTATTTTAATTTATTAACTTTATAATTAAGGAAAATAATTCATTAACATTTTTATATTTATCCTTATCTGTTCAAATCAATTACCTTTTATAATAGACAAATATGTATTTAACAAAAGGATGAATTATATTACAATCAAAATTATTTACTTGAATGAAAGGTGACACAAATTTTCAATTACAAAACTATCACATTTTCCCTCTTTTTATTTCATTTGTTATAAAACAATCACATCTCCCATTCTCTCTTCATTCTCATTTATTCAAATTTATTCTTCATCAATCTTATGTTTCTTTTTCCTTATCATTTCTTCTTCCATCACCTTATATCACATTTTTCTTCAATTTCTTCTTCCATTATTAATTTATACTTTGATTTCTCCTTCTTCCAACCATTGCACTTTCTTCCATCACCTTATACTCATTGATTGTTCGACGATTATTTTCGTGTATATAAACTTCTACACTGCATTTTGTCCAACAATGTTTGATCTTTTTTCATTTTCTTTCTTACCTTCATCTTCAATGTTTGCTGTTTTTATTTCACTTTCAATACTATTTTAACACTTTTCATCTTCCAATAGAAGTAAAACTCTTCATCTTTCAAAACAATGTTTTCCTTTCTTTTCTATTTTGTCTTTGAATGTATTCACCGTATTTTGTTACAACATTTGTAGTTCATTCCATTTTAAACAATGTTCTTCTTTCTTTTATATTTTGTCTTTCTTTTTCTTTTAATGTTTTTTTGCATTTTTTAAAACTTAATACATGGTTTTTTTCTTCTAATAATTTTCCTCAATCACTCAACAAATGCAAACCTAGTCTTTTATAGGTTCTTATACCCATCCACTAACTCATCATGCTGAACATAGTATTTTTAAAATTATTTCATTTTTTTTATGTCTGACTGTTAAAAATACTAACATTGAGCAAATACACATTTGTTTGAGATCAACATGTTGTTATACATGGTTTGTGTTATGGGTCATCCAAAGGCCCAACAATACGAGGTACAATCCAATACCAAATCACTCAAAAAGATCCAACATAAAAAAGTCCTCACACATGGAATTCAAGATACACCTTCTAATATCCATTTTTTATTACACTCTTCTTGAATTCTGAACTGTTGTTGATGTTGATGATGATGTTGTTGTTGTTGTTGGGCATTGGAGTGATAACCTTATTGGTCATATCTGTTAGAACAAGATCTGTTCATGACATATATCTCTTAGATTTTGATGATAACAAAATATTAAAAGAACAATGGTGTTATCTATTGTGTGTTCCAAGTAAACAGGTTCTAAGGCTTGAAAAAGAGGCATTCAAAATCTGATATAAGGATGCATTTGAGAGAAGCTGAGTTACTAGCTTCTAGTGGATCAGAACCTGAAGAACACTCTCTAAGTGATGTCTAGCGTAGACTCTAAAGCTGAAAACCTCAGTATCAAAAGAGAAATATATTGTCTCTACACTAAGTTAATGTATCAGCTTCTGGTGAACATTCAGAATCAGTAATAAAGTTTGAGTTATTTGTATTGTAAAAAGCAAGTTACATTGTCAAATCAACTTGTCAGTTAAAGTCTATTTTTCACAAGGCTCAAGAAGAGTTAACATGCTTTACAGATATCTACTTTCAACGGCTATATAATACAAGATTACATGGAAGACGCAATGGTGAAACATGTTACACAATGTATTAAGATCTTTTGATGTATATCTCTCCAATGTCTCTTGTACTATAGAAAAACAAAGACACTTGTTCAAGTTATCTCTTCCAACGGCTAGTCTTCTACAATTGCTATATAAGCTAGTGAAGATTCAAACTGAAGTCTTCAACAAGGAGCAATCAAAAGGGCAAATATAGAAGGAAAGCCAATAAGGATAGAAGTGTTCTACACTTCTCTCTGAATGGAGGAATAATAAGATCATACAATAAGCAACGCAATCGAGTATGAAGAATTTTTGTTATATTTTGTAAATTATAATAAGCCTTAAGATTTCTTAAACATTGAATATCTTAGAAATCTTAAGTGCTTAGAGGTCTTTGTTAAGGTGATTACCTTGCACCTCTGATTTTGTATCAAGTACACCTTGTTCTCTATTATGCTAAACATGATTGTTTAGTAGTTTAGATAAAGTCTCTTACTATGTGCTTAAGCATCAAAGTCTCTTGCTGAAAGGCTTGAGCCAAGTAAGTCTCTTGCTATGTGCTAGAGCATTAAAAGTCTTGATCATTTGGTGATTGAGCAGAAATTCTTTTCTTAGACTGTGAGTTTAAGCAGAAAGTCTTAGGTCTGAGGGGCTGACTAAAAAAACATTGAGGTGAATCTCATGTCCTAAGAATAGAAGTTGGGTCAGATCTGGGTGGCGGGTCGGTCAAGCTTAAGGAAAAGGGATATTGGAAAACCCTAGTGCATTAGTCGTTCATTCCAATTTCCAAAACAAAAGAAGTCAAAACACGCATCAGCAAGGCAATATCAAACCAAACGAAACCCAAATTCAATCGTCCATCTCTTTTCTCGTTTGAAAACTCACTAACCTCTCTTTCTCTTCGTCGCGCCTTCTCCTCCCAATCATGGCTTCTCTGTATCGCTCACAATCGTCTTGTTTTAACTCTACTTCTCACACGGTGGCCTTTCGTTCTGCTCATAAAGCTTTTCGAATTTTAAGGTTTTTCTATCGAAACGGTTGGGATGGTGATGCGGATGAAAGTTCCGTTGAAGAGTGCCTCTATTGTCGGAATTTTGGACGTACGTTATTGAAGGTAGAGGTTTGTTTTCCAGCAATGCTCTGGGTTTTTTCTTCTTCTTTATTTCCGATTTTTTGGTTGCTGAATATGCGTACGGTTTTTCGTGGCGGTGGATGTATGTGAAAAGGTATAGTGATGCAATTGATCTGTCCTTTTTGTTGCTTAGGGAATATGGTGGATTTGTGGGTTCGATTTGTGGTTTTGTGGGGTTTTGATGAAGCTTGTGAAGTTATAGAGGTTGATTTACGGTTATGGGTGGATGATTTGAAGGAAATAGTTTTTGAAAGAAGGGTGATGACGGTGAGTGGAAGATTTTCAGAATGAAGGTATCGTGAGTTCCTCCCCATTTTTTCTTCGAATCCCTCTCCTTTTATCCGTTCTCCTCTTCCCTTCTTTTTTAAAACATTGAACTTGTTTCGTTGCTACTTGATGAGTAGTTTTCATTGTAGAGCAAGTTTGGTAGGTTTTCTGTGTAGGTATGCAGGATTGTTTTGGAGTGTTTTGGCTTGTACAGAATTTGTGCAGGTTGAAAGATATAGTAGGCATACGCAGGTTTTTGGACATGGTTTTGATCGTTTGTGTTTAGCGCGTAGGATCAAGCAGGTTTTGGACAAGCTTATATGCAGGATGTGGCATGGTGTTGTTATTGTTGAGATGCTACAGAGTTGTGTACGAGTGGTGCTGATGCATGGATGCAGAAATATCAAGCATTTGTTTTGGTGAAAAAATTAGAATTTTGTGAGCTGTACTGCTGAAGCAGATTTTTGGACAGAGATTTGGCTTGTAATGTATAGGTCATAGCAAGTTAAAGAATGTGTGTTGGGCTGGGACTTATGTTGTAACTTTTTCGAATTCTTATGGCTCGGAGGTTTTCCTCATAGAATGGATTTGTAAAATAATTTGTGAATTGGGCATAGTATTTTGAATTCTTTCGCTATTTGTTTTTGTAACTTGTAAAACAATAAAATAATGGGCTTTTGGTTGTAAGAAAAGAAAATGGGTTTAAAAATAAAAAGAAAAAATTGACAATGATTTTTTTAGTTTTGTATGATTCTATATGTAATGGAGTTTGTACAATAAAAATAAATGAACTTGAATTGGATTTTCAAAATGGGTTAAGATGGATAATGGAATTGGATGGATTAAAAAAAGGAAAATTGTTTGAAAATGGTTAAATGGTTTGGTGAATTTAATTTGAATAAAAATGAATTAAGAAAATGGTTTGTGAACTATATGGATATTAACAAAAGAAACGATTATTGAAACGGCAATTGAAAAATGGATTTAAAAGAAGGATATTATGAATTGAAAATGAAACAAAAATTGGATATTGAATGGATTTTGAAGCTGGTTGGAGAAAAATGGATTTAAAAGGTGGTCATGAGTTAAGATGAATTTAAAATGGATAAATGGATTGAAACTTGAATGGAAGGCTAGCACACGAACATGAACCACTCCTTTTACACTTGCTCACAACTCAACTGCTTTGACCTTTGATGTCTCTGTACCTTCAACAAATAACTCGAATTGACCTATGAATCTCGATACACTGCTTCAAACCCTAATTGGAAACCAAATTTGATCCTTGATGAAACACCTAGGATAGTATCACATCCTCGTCTTCAAAACATCCATTGATACAAATGCTTTGAGATATGAACTGCGACGATTGCACCAAAATTCTAATTGAAAAAGGGC